TATATATATATAAGTGTTAAAATAAGTGATACATATAAATATAGATACACCACCAAATTACCAGCCGGTAGTCTTTCAAAAACACTCCATCTCTACAGTAAGCATTAGAAATTATTTAGTTAGTACTAAGATAAAAAATTCAGCATACCTGACCAGACAACACCTGATACTAGTTTGGATTCTGATATACAATGTAAATCATTTGTAAAGAAAAGACAAAAAAAATAGATACAATATAAAATGTCAACTTACCCCAATCAATGGTGAACAGATGTATGAAGAATCAGCACAGGTGAGAAGATAATACCCGATCAAGGAAGGAAGACCAAGTCATGCAAATAATGTGCAATGAAAGTATTGGGAGTTGTCCACATCCCAGTTTGAATAATCTCCTCCAAAGGATGGAGGATCCAAACAGCTAAAAACAGAACTAAATGGCATATTTGGTGTGAAGAAACCTTAAACAGCTGATGACATGATAAAATAAGCTAGTCGTATGAGTTGAACTCAGCCAGTAGGGGTAATACAAGAAAGATCAGGTGAAACAGAATGATTTCACAGAATAAAGAAGCGAGAACAAGAACCACAAAAGAGTCAGTAGGAGACGGGTAACAACGTTGAGAACGAACTGAACAAAGATGATGATCCGGAACTGAATGGGAATATAAATGGAAAATGGAAGGCAAGGAAATAGGAGAGAAGGCAAAACAATCTTCACAAGCAGCAGATGTCTTGGAAAGGAAGGAATGATTGTGATAAAGGAGAATATAAGAAGAATGGTAAAGGGTGCAGAAAGTTATAATTTTCCTATACTGAAAATATATTTTCAATACTCTTATGATGCATGTGACTCCCTGTATTCAATTCTACTAAGCTATCACTTCAAGTTTGATAGTACTTGTGTTCAGACATTTTTTTTCTTTTGATTCTCTTTTGGCAGAAGATGGAAGCACCAGTTTTCAGTGGGGAAGAAGTGGGGAAAGTATCCATTGGAAATACATTTTCAGTATTGGAAAATTATAACTTCCAATACAGTATATTACCTCTGCTCACATAAATAGCTAGAATCCCACATTGAATAGGTGGAGGGACCAGTGCGAGGGAAAGAAAGAAGCATCTGAAGGACACTCCCCAACATGAAACAGGCAGATTCTAAGTCCTGATGTGAAGGACCGCACCACTTTTGAAACAGTTATACTTTTCACTGAAGAGTGGAAGAAGATGATAGCCCAAAGAAGAAGAAATTGCGATCCCATGCAACTAGTGAGAAATTAATGTATTAAGAGCAGTCCACATGCCCGAGTGAAGAATTTCCTCTTAGGGACGATAAACACGAGAAACCAATGAAAAGGTAAGATGTTGAATTTGATGAGAAGACACACAAAACAAAGAACGGGAAGAAGATGCCAATTGAATTAAAAGCCAAACCCAATTAGTTAGGGTGGAAGGAGAAAGATCACAAACAGAAGACAGCTGCCAAAGAATAACGAGGTGGGAACAGGCACCATGGAAGGAAGGCCTGTGGTCAATATAACAGAGAAGAGCATGTAAAGAACATAGAAGTCAATCCAGGTCAGGCCAAGGATAAAGGTGGGAAATGGAAGGAAAGGAAATCAGAAGGATGAGTTACTCTCACAATCTGCCAAGGTTTTGGGGAGGAAAGGATGATCTGGATAAAAGAGAGAAGGTATGTCGAATGATAAAGAGTACATGAAACAATGAAGGCAAATAAATCAGACCTTGACGTCCACAGGGTAAGAGGAGAAGGAAATAAGTCTTAATGGATAGGTGAAACAAAAAGCATGTGGAGAGTGGTTCAAGTGGAGGCAAAGTGAAGCAGTGAAGAACCACATAAACATCCCAAACTGGAAAGGCAGCCCACTTCAATGGACAACGAATCAAGAAGGAATGCATCAACAGGGAAAGAGTAGAAGAGGTGAACACCCTATGGTATGAGTAAAAACAAAAGTTGTGGGACGAGGTCACCCAATAATCTGAGGTTGAATAGACAGAAGACCCCTGATTGAAAAGGCAAGTGAGGAAATTCGCAATATGAAGAACAGTGAGTTGAGCAGGGGAAAATTTTTGACCTAGAGACCAATGGTGGAAAATGTTCCATTTACATTGATAAACTGAATGTATGTGTCCGTGAAAATGTGTAAATCTGGACAAGGAGGAAGCGAGACACCATCCGACGTGAGAGTCTTGTCCAACCAAGAATGGAGATCATCGTGGGGTTAGGAGGAAGGGTAATAAGAGCCATCAAAGAATCATTTGCGAGATTCCACTGGTTGTAAAGAGCCTGCATATGAGCCCAACTTAAGGGGATAGGGGCTGCCATGGAGGACCACATCACTGAAAGTGATAGAACCTCATGAGCTGTAACAGAGGGAGCAGTAAGAGCGTGGAGAACTGAAAACTCCATTGAACAAAGTGGAAGAGGAGAAGGTTGGACCTGACTGAGATGGGTGTTGAAAAAACACCCAAATGGACAAGATATTGGGTAGGTCACAGGAATGACTTCTCCAACTTGATTAACCAGCCACTAGAGCTGCCTCCAGGAGCAGCTGTTGAGTGTGATGGGTGTACTCCTGTTTGGAATGAGCTAACAGTAACCAGTTGTCCATATAATGATGAAAGTGCAACCTGAGAGCATGTAAGTGACAAGTGAATGCTCTTACCACCCAACAAAAAAAAAGGCCTAAACAAGCTTAAAGGACAGTGTGTCAAACTGATAAACCATCATGTGGTGAACAAACTGAAGACAGGATCACAACTGATGAGATATGCAAAGGGGTCAAATTAAATCCCTAAGATAAGGGGGCAGCATATGAATCTGGGACAAAGCCGCATCTTGACCCATAAGATCCTAACAACAGAGAAACCATGTGTGCAAAGCAAGAGCAAAGAGGGCAATCTAGCCAACATTGAGGTAATAATGGAGAGGCTTTCCAAAAGTAATGCATCGCATCTGTAGCAAGTCCGAACAACATAAGATCCAGGTGGTGAGAGATAGTGCTGAAGTCGACAAACAGGCCATGTTAGACCACAGAAGGGTCCTGAGTTCTGTCGAGAATTGATCATGAGACTGGTATAAGGTTTGAGATAATAATTGTAAAGAGGAAATAACACGTAAATGGGTGGTCAAAGTAAGGCAAATCCAAGAAACTGGGACCTATTAAAATGAATCAAGGCATCAGGAAATCAAGCCCCACAAAGGAAGGAGAGAATCCAGATGTTGTGAATCCAAATAGGGATTCAAGGCACATTGGTAAGCAAAAGAGGGGGATGGGGGATACCCACACTTGACTGCAATTGATCAGCAAAACATTGAGCATGAACAAGAATGTCAGGTGAGGGAGGAAAAAAAATAATAATCAGGACGAACTATTGTCACCCAACAAAGAAAAATAATCAAGGGATAAAGACGAAACATGTAAAATATGACATACCTCATCAATAAGTTTTAGGAAAGGTGTGGTTGACATACTCTCCTGGCTGTCAGCATTATGTGATTGGCCGAAAAAAATAAGGCTGGAACAAAAGAGTCAAAATTGTCCTCACCCTGAATAAAAACTTCCTCAGAAGCATATTCATGGAGAAAAGGAATCGACAAACAAGCCAAAGCATAGAACTCGCTGCTGAGTAAAGCTTGAACCTCCTCAGGTGACATTGTCAACCTGCCATGCTGGGAACTAGTGGCATTACCATCATCCACATTGGAAGGAACTTCCTCATCCACCACATTAAAATTAAAATTCATATGCCCACTTGTATTTCCAAAAAAATGTAAGAAATACTCAGAAAAAAATGCAAGTGAAATGATAAAATTAACTATTAGTTCAAAATTTTAAATTGAAACCAGCAAGGAACCACACATGAATGAGCAGGATTCAAATGCAGAACAAAGGAAACGCACGTCTAATCACTGTAGTGCCAATCGAGAAAATGAAGATTGTGCTGCAATGGGTAGAAGGAGCTATCTGTGCTAGTATAGGTGGTGCAGTATGATTGGTGGAGGGTAGTCACATGATTTGCACATGTTGCTGCAATTATGAAATAAATAAAGGGATATAAAAGACTGGTTTGCAGTTAAAAATTTTAGCATTGTTTAGAGAGCAAATCAAGGTCGAGATAGCTTTGAGTGAAAATAGGTAGTACCATTTCGGAATTTATGATTTTCCAGGACTCAAACAAACCCCATGTATTTGAGCTATATTTTTGTGTAAGAAAAAAAATCCTTTCCGAATGAAAACTTAAGATACCACAGCAATGACACTATATCGACAAAAATCAAACTCTTTATGCCTTTTTTCCCTTTTCAGCATGATTCTGATTAACAGTCTGTGTTCAAAATAAACTTGTGTTTATACAACGTAACCATATTTAAAATATTATTAAACAAATAATAATACAATGTCAAATATTAAGAAATATTATTTTTCTTTTGTCATAAAGTTCTGAATGTTGCAATAAAGATTCACATAAAATGCATGCTTTTACTCTTCCTGTGAGCTAATTATGATATCTATCCCTTCTGATCAACTCAACAGAGAACTCAGTATAAAAATAATATTCCATCTAAATTATTACTACCTTCAACAAATAATGGATTTATGATGTCATGGTTTATCATTTCAAAGTTCTGATGTCCAATCCAATGTTCAACATTTATTTTTCTCCCAGTAAAAAAGTTATCAACAACTGTTACGCTGTGACCATCCATCATAAGTTTGTCCACTAGATGACTTCCAACAAACCCAGCTCCACCAGAAACCTGGCATTAACATATGAACACATTAAACTTAAATAAATGGAAACACATTTGACAAAATGTTCAAGAATATGCAATGTTTTTCAAAATGATTATTTAATATTTTTATTAATTTGCAGTATTTAAGGAAAATTTTTCATAAAATCTATCTATAATTCTTAATTTAACCATTCTATTTTTTGTTAGTTTTCTAAACTATTGTTACGTCTCCGTTTTTTAATTAACTGATTTTCCGTAACTTTGTACCGACGAAACTTACGCGACACAAGCCTTTACTTAATAAAACTGGTTTATTCTTTCCGAATATAACTTAACCGATACACTCAATAATAGCAACGAACGTCAATAATACTCCGACCGCAGATCAATTACTCACTATCCACGCACACATTACATTCCCGTATTTTATATACCAGCGTAACCTATTTCTAGCAAGAAGTAGAACATTCGCCAAAGTACATGATAGTTCTAGAAACAAGATAGCGTGAGAATTGTCACGTGATCTCGATGACGCAAAACTATATTTTGGACAAAGAAACTGAAAACAAAAAACAATATTTAAACTATTACTACAAAGTTGATCATACCTTACAAAAAATAAACTATGCAATGTTTATATGCAAATTGAAAAATAATCTCAGAAAACCTACATTATTAATCAAATCTTTAATAATTTGCTGAATTCTTAAGATAGTTTTCCAGATTAACTACCAGATTTTGTCATGTACCTACATGTAACTTGGAAAATAAAATAAAAAACTAATCAGTTAATTCCTCACATTTTCAAAAGAACGCATAAAACTAAAATCCTGTGTAAACGAACATAATTCTTCAAAAATGACTAATTTACGTAATCAAAATGGACATTTCATTTCAAGGATTTTCTGGTTAGAGCTATGAAGCAAATAATATGTAAGCTATTTTAGTTTCAGCAGTTTTAAGAGAAAAGGTACAAAAAATAAAAAGCTTTCACTGAGCTGAGCATTATGTAAAGTCTTACAGTAAACATCCCTAATTTCCCATTTTGTTTTGTTTTTGAGAACTGACCATTAATTCATTACACATACCAGTGATGTAATCATATAAAATGGCATTAGTGCTACCTTTACTTAATTATAATTTTCTCACTACCCTACTGTTCAGAACAATGGCTTGCAATAGCTTCCTCTCTCATCTGGATCGCTGCTTTACTTGTGTTTTATTCTTGTAATCAACACATGAGATGAAGATTCAGAAAGATAATATTAATGGTGATCAAACTGAATTTAATTCAATGTATTTATATTTGTTTGTTTGTAGTTAGGCACAAAGCTACACAATAGGCTATCTGTGCTCTGCCCAGCACAGGTATGGAAACCCGGTTTCTAGCATTGTAAGTCCACAGACATTCCACTGTGCCACTGGGAGGCACACTTATATTTGTATCATCTAGTGGGTATTATTAAACGTTATTTGTGACTACAATGCAGTGTGTATTTGAAAAGAATTCTTATGTTCATTATATTTTAAAAAATACACAATCAGAAGTCTTAATTTAAACCCACACATTTACCAGTCAAGAAGATACAATAAATTAAACCATTTACAAACTAATGTTTGACTTGATTTAAGGATGAAAGTCCTAAACATTTCAAAGCATCATTAAAGCACTACATTGTATTTTTTAGGCCTAATCCTACCTACAAAATAACCTTTTACAAAAAGGTAACTTATATTCATACAAAAGTACAAACATTATAATTTTCCTATACTTAAAATGTATTTATGATAGATACTTCCCTCCGCTCATAAGATTAGCTATTCTTGTCCATTGCTAGCCTCTATAAGCAAATTTGTTTCTGTATGCATGCCACAAGCCTTCTGCTTCCCCCCTATTGTAATCAAATGTTTCCAATATGTACCTCATGTAAATCATCATGTATCACTTCTCCACCAATAGGAGCATGACATATGCTCGTGGTGCAAGTGACTCCCTCTATATGCCTCTACCGAACTATCACTTTGAGGTTTGGCAGAAGATGTGAGTGCCAGAGGAAAATGGGGAAGAAGTGTGAAGTATAAGAAAATTAAAACTTCCAATATTGTACTTCCCTCTTCTCACAAGATTAGCTAGAATTCCACATTGATTAGGTGGCGGGACTGCTTCGAGGTAATGGCACAAGGGGTGAACTGCAATTTGACATCTCACTCCTTTGTGAGTGTATATTGCATATTGGAGGATAGCACATCATCTACACCCACAGAATACCACCACCCTACTCTGCACCGAATGGTTACAGCCATCTTTGTGTGGAACCCATTCAGGAGGGTGCCTCCATGGTCAACCACCCCAGTGGCTTGGAACTGGAAAGTGGTAAAAACTCTCATATTCCACTGGACGAAAGAGGGTGAGAACACATTGAAGAGACATGAAACCCTATTTTGAAAAGCAGACCATACTGATTTATTTAATACAAGGTATGGCAGGGATCGGCAGCTATCCCATTCTGCCTTACCCATGCAGTCCATGGGTGGAACAATCCTGAATTTTATCAAGTTTATCAAGCAATTACTTCCAAGGTTATTCATGTACAAGCAATCTTTTGGAAGACCGCATTTCAACAGTTAGTATTGCGAAGCCATGGAAGATAAAGTGCGAGTCAACATGGCTGTACAGTGCAGATTTCAAGTTGAAAAATACCTGGTCAGGCACCACTTGCCACTAAGCGGGATCTATATCATGAGTAAATGAAGCAAGGGGCCCCTGAAAGGACTTAAAAGTATGAATATAAACTTACCCAGTCAAAGTCAGACTGAAGCCTGAAGAACGGCCATAGGTGGAAGATGAAAACCTGACGAAGAAACTGTGATATGGTGTAAATAATGAGAGACAAATTTATTAGGTGTAGTCCACATGCCTGACTGTAGGATTTCCTCGGCCGACAAAGATGAGATATACGAGGGAAAAGGTGAGGTGTCTAATCTGATGAAAAGACACCTGGAACAAATTCCAGGTGGAAGAAGATAAGGAGGAATAACCCAGTTGGTAAGGGTAGAAAGGGAAAGATCCCAAACTGAGGAAGACTGCCAAGAGATAAAAGTCAGGAACACGTACCACAGAAGGAAGCCATGTGGGAAATATACAGATGAAGAGTACAAACTGGACATAGAGGTCAATCCGGAGTGGGTCAAGGGTAGAGATGAGAAATAAAAGGAAGGGAAATAGGCAAAAAGGGAGAGTTGCCCTCCCTAGCCACCAAGGTGTTTTAGGAGGAAGGAATGATCCAGATAAAGGAGAAGATAGGTAGGGTGGTAAAGCATACATGAAACACCAATGGCAAACAGGTTAAGAGGAGAAGGAAATACATTTCAAGGAAGAGGTGAAACATGAAAAACAAGGAAAGCGTTCAAATGGAGTTAAAGTGAGGGAATGGAGGAACACACTAATATCCTAGTCCAAATGAGTAGACTAATCCGGAAGGAACACATTAACATGGTAAGGACAGGGGAAGCAAAAACTTGACAGTATCGAGAAAAACTAAAGGTATGGGATAAAGCAACCCGATAACCCAAGAGCAAGGAGACTGAAGACCTCTAGTTGAAAAGCCATGTGAGAAACTCTGCCATTCGAGCCACAGTAGGTCGGTCAGCAGGGAAACCCCGAGGCACAGACCAACTACAGAACACTTTCCATTTGTGATGATATACCACCATTGAAGAAGGACATATGGAACAAGCTAAAAGAAAAGCTACTCAATGGGAAAAACCTGATCTACTTGCCAAGGACTGGATAAAAGCCAGGCTTGAAGGCGAAGAACGTGAATGGCTGGATGTAGAGCCAGTGACCAAGGTTGACAAAGAAGGAAGGGAAGGAGTACTGGAGGGAAAAGTTGCAGTTGTTGTAATCACGGAAACCAAAGTTAAGCTGGCCAATAAGGAGCAATCAGAAGGACTCAACTCAGAATGGTATGGATGAGAGAGATCAACCAATGGAATGATTGGATAGAAGGATGAACATAAAGGAATTTGTTGGGACCAATTCTCACTGAAGGCATCAACAGCCAGAGCCCGAGGATGAGGTACAGGGGACCAAAAGAAGGGTAACTTGTGATTGAGGTATGTGGCAAATACATCTGCATGAGGAAAACCCTACCAATTGCAAAACCACTAGAAAACAAGGGGATCTAAACATCACTAAATCAGATATATTTGGACGAGGCAGGTAAGATGATCCACTATGAGATTAATATGGTGCATGTGAAACGTGGGGGTGAGGCATGCTACTTCCCTCACTTAATTGTGAGGAAAATTGGTCAGCATGTACCCAAATATCCAGGGATGAGGGGAAAACCAAATAAGGATGGGAAGATTAGTCATGTAGTAAGGAAAGATGTGGTTCATAGGAAATAGGGGCAGGGATAAAATGTCACATACCTGAGAAACATGATAAAAAAATATATTAGGCCTAACTCACTCCTCAGGTGGGGCATGACAAAGCACAGCCAAATCAGGAGGTTGAAAAAGGTGATCCAAGTCCTCTTCCACTTAAACAGGGTCAACATGTTCGGGAAAGTTAGGAGAGGTCCAAAAACAGAGGTTGACCCATGTATTGTTCAATCTCCTTGCGAATAAATGCGGATATATCCTCTGCCGGGTCGCCGAGGCCTGAGACATAGCACTAGTCGCAGGTGTGACCCCTCAAAGTGGTAACATGAACTTCAGAATTCATAATGAGGATAAGTCAACCAATAATCAAAAGTATAAACAACAATGTGACTGTAATAAACTGGGATCAAAGTGAAGTTAAGATACAGTCTTAATAGAAACCACAAGTAAAAATAAATGAAGACCACTTCGTGAGTATACTAAAGATGAACGTGAAACTTGAAACAAACAAAAAGGAACATGTCCGAGCACAAGTGCTGCCAAACAAGAAGTGATAGTTTGGTAGAGGCATATAGAGGGAGTCACATGCATCAGGTATGTCACACTCCTATTGGTGTAGAAGTGGTGCATCGTGATTT